CTGCATGGCCTGGGACCACGTCTAGCGCAGGGTCACTTCTCCCAGTGCCTAATACATATGAGGACCTCAGAAAGTGAAAAGAAGAAGGCAGACTTTCTCCACACCGAGTGGGCGAAACTGCACGCCAGTGAGGTCTTCAAGTCTCTTTCTTTCCTGTCACCTCCCTGTGCATACAGAACAGAGTCCTGCAGAGGGTTTCATTCCAGAATCGCCAAGTGTTTCAAGAAGATCCTGATTCCATGTCCAAAGAACCTGAAAATTAAGTGCCCTAACAAAAGAAAATGTTCTGATAATGCCGCCCCTTCCTCCATGGGAAGATTTGCAGACTCCCAAGCTCAGCCCCCTTCAGGGACCCCCTTGCTGAGCAGGGCCTGTCCTCCCCCTCTCAGCAGAAGCAGGCAGAGCCCCCATTTCCCACAGGGGCATGTCAGTGAATCCAGCTACAAGCTGAGCCTCCACCCCACAGTGTCTCCCGGGGCTGAGAAGGGCAGGGCCACTTGGGGCTTTTTAGCACCCAGTGCCCCTACCTGATGGTGGCAGGGCCCAGGGGGAGCTGAACTTCACCCCTATCCTTAGCAATGAAAGTGAAAGAGGTGCTGCAGGCAGAGCTAGTCTGGACTCCAGGAACCCCATGGAAACTGTGGGTCCAGTGATGACCTCAGCCTTAGCCCTCCTAACTTGGCATTGAAGGTACTGAAGAGGGGGATGACAAGAGGTCTTGGACACTGAAGGTGTCTCCTCCCTTCCCTGCTATCAGTGAGACCCAGTGGACCCCAGGAGGAGCTGAGCTTCCACCAGTCCCCTCAGAGCAGCAACCGAGTAGCTTCACTCAGCCTGACACCCCCTCTGTGCCATCAGTGGGGTCCTCAAAAGTGACCTCATGCCCAATCCAAGGCAGCGAGTCAGCACAATCACTGCTAAATCATTCCAGGTAGGTGTCAGAGTTCCTGAGCCTGAGAGTTCGGGCCCCATGGTAGGTGAGTCCACTGGGGACCTGAGCACATGACCTATGTCCTGTGACACCC